GATGTGGACACGTTGCTTCAAAAATCCTCTGAACGTCCTATCTCTCTAAGGGCAATGACAATGTCTGCGTGATCCATGGGCTGACCATTCTCAATTAATACAGAACCTGCCAGTCTATCAGCTACCTCATTACCAACAACGCCTGCATGACCTGGGACGAAATGAAAGTAACTGCACACAAGAGAATTTTGCACCGACTCAAGCCACTGTCTGCGTAACCAGCCTGCCTGGACCAGCCGGATTCTTAACCCTTTTAGCACGGGAAGTTTTTCAGAGGTCTAGCCAAAAACACGGAGCATTTTTTCAGTGAATTTGGTTATTACTTTATTTAATTTTTTTGACAGATTTCTGTTATTCTGACCCCTATGAAATAATATATCTATTTGAAGGATATAGATTGAAGTTCGTGATTTTCACAATATCGTTAAAATTAATTGATGTATATGCAAATTATCTCATTTGCATATCTAAAAACAGAAAATATGAATTTGAATTTTCAACTTCAATGCTTGAAACATAAAACTAAAAACAAAAATTTTTTTAATTTGAAATCTTTTTATTGATCTTTGGCCTTTTTACAAATGTTGTAAGCAATTCAATAGTCAAAAACAGGTATATATATGTGAAACAGCAATAATATCTTTAGGTGACATGTGTTTTTCACCATCAGTCAGCACTATAAATGGATGTGCCGGAGTGTCAACACCTTCGGGTGGATATACCCTGAGCCATGGTTGGGCTGTGGTCTGAACACAACAGCGTCCCCATGATTCCCACTATAACTACTAACACTAAATCCTGCATCAGTATCAACAGAATTAGTGTCAACACTTGATTCAAATGTTTTATCAACATCAAGTTTAGGGGCAGAAACATACGAGTCAGACATACTTTTAGCGGTTCAGGTCACTATCTAAAAAATTCAACAACAATTTTCACTTCGATACCAAACACTCGAAAGTCGCCATGTGTAAAGCTGATACCGCAGTTAATATAAATGAATCACTTTCAGTGTTTCAAAGTAGGAGATTTCTTAGCGGTTCGAGGCGAAACACGATCGGGCCGATCATCGGCCGTTCCGTGTTTTTGGCAAGACATCCGCCGGCCGATAATCGGCCCGTCCGTGCTAAGAGGGTTAATACAGTACTTTTCCCCCGAACTGCTGCGTTGAAGTTTGTCTTGATTGTTGTGTCTGGGTCTTGCTTCTGGTCGGCGTTCACTTGTCACAAAATATTCCTGATACCCTGCAGACCGGGCTTTGCACTAATTTGCATTCTTGGGAGTAAAGAATACACACAAGGGCATTCGATGGAACGACGCCAAAGCCACTGAGGTGCAATTTTGGCTATTTAAGCGTAATTTTTTTTAGCTTTGATGTGCCGCTTCACAAAAAATGAATGCAAAAGAGATTTATCCTCCAAATATGCCAACATGGGGCAGTTATTTCCTTTCCGTCAATGAGACAATTTTCATTAGCCACAACCTGAGTTTTTCTAAAGATCTCCATGTTCTAACGAGATTTTCTGGAGCCATGGGTTTATCACTTTGGTGACTTTGGCGCAGTGCCAACGACATCGCTCTCCCCCTCCCCTTTCCACTCCCATATATATATACACACACATACACACACACACCCACCCACTAACACAATGCACATACGCACATACAAAACATAAAACACACACACCCACCCACACTCTCTCTCTCTCACACATGCGGGCGCGCAAACATCGCACACATACATATACATACACGTAGATATACACACAACTCACACATGTCAAGTGAAGGTGACAGGAAACATGTTATAAGGAGACCTGTTCCTTGTTGTGATCATTAATAAGTCTGAAATATTAATGTGTGGGCAAAAGTGGGGAAGAACGAAGTACTTCTAAATTAGAGACTAGAGATAAGCTAACCGGGGGGGGGGGGGGAATAAGAAAGAGAGAGGAGATAGAGAGCGAAAAAAAAAATATATATATATATATATATATATATATATATATATATATATATATATATATATACATACATACATAGAGAGAGAGAGAGAGAGAGAGAGAGAGAGAGAGAGAGAGAGAGAGAGAGAGAGAGAGAGAGAGAGAGAGAGAGAGAGAGAGAGGTCACTTAAGAACCAAATCGACATCACTTGGGACATTTCCCTGAGCTTCGACAGTCAACGTAGGCCTTGTTTTGAACGCACCTTGCAGTCTCCAATCTATGTTTGCACACTCAGCACAGTGAAGGTCAATTTTCCACGCCTTTGGGGGTATTAGGAAGTTAGGGCTAGAACTATATTTTTATAGACCAATCGGCACTTGGTGGGTGATATGGTCATCATCACATTGGCCGCTTTTACTTCCTAGGACTGCACCTGATACCCAATCAAGGCTGGGTCGACCTGGGAGTCAAGGTCATTTCTGCAGAGAAAAAAGTCCAGCTCCGTCAAGATGCGAACCCACAACCTTGCAATAAGCAGGCGGGTGTCAACTCCCTCACTCAGCACAAGAATGGTGTATCCAGGCCACCTCTACAATACAGGTATCAAGTGGGCCGACTGAAAAACCCGGGTCACATTTCCACAGAGCCAAGGCTAATTTCAGCTGTGCAGTTTCAATTAATGCCTGTGTGAAAGGCCCTGGGCATCTGTTATATAAATTTGATCTGGCTTAAAGCGAGCCGAAAAGCTGGCAAACTTGGGGTCAAAAAGTGATAATTGATAGGGAAGCTGTCCACTTTCCTTCTTAAGTCTCTGTTGTTCGGACGAGTAACATGAAGTTCTGATTTTCCTGTTGGGTTCAGGGGTTTAGCGCCACGCGGGTTGAGGTGTGTGGGCAAAGATAGGTTCCATCTCTTATATGGTATTTTCGAACACGTTTTGAATTTAAATGCATTATTATGTGTGAATAACCACGGCCATCTTGAGGATATAAATATGCAGTCGGACGTGGAATAACTTAGCTTATGTTCAGTGAAATAAATAGATGTTGAATGTGATAATTAGAGTTCCAGATTCAGATTAGGACTTGTGGTTGGTATTCCTAGTTTACTGTAACTGCTATCTAGACCATCGGTTCTCGAAACTTGTTTTCTGCGACACCCTTGTCGGGCCAAATGTTTCTCTCGGCACAGCTACCCTTAAAGTGGTTTGAATACTTGAAAGGAAAAAAAAAATAGTGTACATTTAATGTTTAGTTGTCTTTAATGCGAAAAAGGAAACTATTTGGATGAATTGTTCTATATTGCCGCGGCACCCCTAGCATACGCTTGCGGCACCCAGATTGAGAACCACTTATCTAACCTATATACAAAATAATTATGTCTGGGCTAGAATATTTACGGTTCTAGTCATCCTTTCACAGTGACATCGGGAGTAAGACAGGGGTGTGTCTTATCACCACTGCTGTTTATCACCTACATCGACAGTATATGCAAGAATGCCAAGCCCATGAATGAAGATCTTAGTAAGATCAACGAATTACTCTTTGCAGATGACCAGGTCTTGATAGCAGATACAGCCATGAAATTGCAACAACATCTAACATCCATGAATGAAGAATGTAAAACAAATAATATGAGAATCAACACTGAAAAGACAGAAGTAATGTCAATAGGAAAAAAGAAGACAGATCTAAACATAGCAATAGAATACAAAGGCATTAAACAGGCATCTGAGTTTAAATATCTGGGAACTACATTTACCGAAGATGGGAAATTGGATAAAGAAATTGACATTAGATGCAGTAAAGCAAACCAAGTATTGGGACAGCTAGCCCCCCTCTTACAGCATAAGACAATCCCAATCAGCACAAAGAGACATCTTTTTCAAAGCATATTTATTCCAACTCTGTGCTACCAGTGCCAGACATGGTCACTCACAACAAACCATAAAAGAAAATTAGTAACCACGGAAATGAGATGTCTGAGAAGGGCTGTAGGAGTGACCATAAGAGATAAGATCAGGAATGAGATCAGAAGAGAACAAGTCGGCACAGAACCAATTCTGGATTACATACAAAGACAGCAAGTGAAATGGTTTGCCCACTTAGAGAGAATGCCTTGTGACACCATACCATACAAAGCATACATGGAAAGAGAAGAAGGACGTAGAGCACGGGGTAGACCAAGAACAAGATGGAAGGATAACATTAGAGAAACTCTACAAAAGCACGATGTGCCTATGGTCGAGGCAGCCAGAAGAGCTAGAAACAGAACCTTATATCTCCCTCGACACCCACAGCGGTAAAAGAGGAAGTGAAGAAGAAGAAGAAGAAGAAGTCACCGCCTAACGAATTGTTTCTCTTTATTGTTTCTTGGTACTTATGCTTTCGCTTCTAGTGCATAGCAAATGTGACCAAGTACTGCATGTATCTGTCAACAGTCATAACCATCTTCCGTGTCACAGATAACAACGCCGATATGTCACAGATAACAACGCCGATAGGGGCATTGTGGAGCTGATCTTATGAGAGAACGCCCACTTCTCTTGTCGCCGATTATCGGAGGTAGTTTGATGATGTCCACAGCCAGCAATGTCCTGTTGCAGTCAGTCAACTGGTTCTCCGTTTTGTAATTGTCGGAAGACAATTGGCCGTGGAGAGTTTTGAAAGATAGAGACATATTTACATGCACACACATACAAGCACACATAATAAATACAAACATACACACATACATACTTACGCACGTACGTACTTACATACTATCAAGTGAATGTACGTACATGCATACATACATATGCAAGCACATACCACAGCGCCAAGTACTAATGTCCAAATTTGTTTTGAGTGAAGTTACTTCCCTATGAAGTTATCTGATGGGAAGTTTTATGTCTGTGAAATGACCTGTCTAAGAAGTTATCCATCTGTAAAGCTATCCATTTGACGTGACTATCCATCACAACTGGGTGACACTTTGTTCTAGCCTGACACTTTAATGTTTTGTCATTGACAGACTTCTGTAGCTGATCTCCATGGCGTCACAGGAAAACCCCCCACCATATGACAGCAAGCAAAACTACCCACCTCAGCAAGGGCAACAGGGAGCTTACCCGCAGGGTGGCTATGGCCCACAGGGTGGCTATCACCCAACACAGGGCGGCTATGGCCCACAACAGGGCGGTTATCCACCACCGCAGGGTGGCTACCCACCACCACATGGGATACGCCTACCCTCCACCACAAGGAATGCAACAGTCCTCGGTGAGTCTGGCTTGTGGATGTCGTCTATTCTGTAGATATAACCATAATACTATTATTAGTATATTATACAGGATAGAAATAATTCATTCCTGCACATGTATATGTTGCCCATTTATATGTTGCCCATCTATATGTTGCACATTTATATGTTGCCCAAGAGTTTTCGTTTCAGTGACCAGCTTGATTTAAGATCTTGAGGTGCTCAGTCTACATATTATATATTGTTTAACTATCAAAAGCTTTCATATCTCTTGTACAACTTAGGAGCCAAAGTTTGCTTACTGTCTCTACAAAGTCGGCAATGTAAAGTGTCAAGTTGTTTCCTGAGTCGAACAAAATATATTAGTCGAAGTATGTTATAATGATCTGTGCCACTTATAACACAGTCTAACGATCGAAATGTTCTACATATAACACAGTCAAATGGTCAAACTGTTCTACATCTAACACAGTCTAATGATCGAAATGTGCTACATATAACACAGTCTAATGATCGAAATGTGCTACATATAACACAGTCTAATGATCGAAATGTGCTACATATAACACAGTCTAATAGTCGAACTGTGCTACATATAACACAGTCTAATAGTCGAACTGTGCTACATATAACACAGTCTAATAGTCGAACTGTGCTACATATAACACAGTCTAATGATCGAAATGTGCTACATATAACACAGTCTAATGATCGAAATGTGCTACATATAACACAGTCTAATGATTGAACTGTGCTACATATAACACAGTCTAATGGTCAAACTGTGCTACATATATCACAGTCTAATGGTCAAACTGTGCTACATATATCACAGTCTAATGGTCAAACTGTGCTACATATATCACAGTCTAATGACCAAATTGTGCTACATATATCACAGTCTAATGACCAAATTGTGCTACATATATCACAGTCTAATGGGCTAACTGTGCTCTATATATAACACAGACTAATGACCGAACTCTGCTTCATAAAACACAGTGTAATGATCAAACTGAGCTACATATAATCACAGTCTAATGATCGAACTGTGCTACATATAACATAGTCTAATGGGCCAACTGTGCTCTGTATATAACATAGACTAAAGACCGAACTGTGCTTCGTATAGCATAGTCTAATGGGCTAACTGCTCTATATATAACATAGACTAATGACCGAAATGTGCTACGTATAGCATAGTCTAATGGGCTAACTGTGCTCTATATATAACATAGACTAATGACCGAACTGTGCTACGTATAGCATAGTCTAATGGGCCAACTGCTCTATATATAACATAGACTAAAGACCGAACTGTGCTACGTATAGCATAGTCTAATGGGCTAACTGCTCTATATATAACATAGACTAATGACCGAACTGTGCTACGTATAGCATAGTCTAATGGGCTAACTGCTCTATATATAACATAGACTAATGACCGAACTTTGCTACGTATAGCATAGTCTAATGGGCTAACTGTGCTCTATCTATAACATAGACTAATGACCGAACTGTGCTACGTATAACATAGTCTAATGGGCTAACTGCTCTATATATAACATAGACTAATTACCGAACTGTTTGCTACGTATAGCATAGTCTAATGGGCTAACTGTGCTACATCGTAAGCTGCATACTGACCTATGTGATGTGTATTTACTGCCAAGTTGTGGAGGTTTGGCAATATCGGGCCCTCTCTACCAACCGGGGTGTGCTTTATCTTGTAAAAATCTGCAAGCCGAAGTGTAGTTAGCCAAAGAGTAGGTGCTCTTAAATATTTTGACGTAGCGTACTCTTGACAACATACGGAGAGATGAACAAACGAACTTTATTTTGAAAGGCTCACAAATTGGACACGCAGGCCGTTCTATTTAATAAAGCTATGCTTAATGGGAAAAATAAATAAACGTGCTCCAGCTGGGAAACTGAACCGTGACCATTATCATGACACATAAACGCACTAACCGAATTCATTACTACTCCAAGTGTGCGGACATTAATGGTAACTATATCACTCAGCTCAGTCATGCAGCAGTCAGTTTAGATAATTCTTATAAATGACCTGCAAATGTTGCCATGTTACTTCCAGACACGCAGCAACAAAACCCACCCCAGAAAATGTCTCAACAATTGCCCAGATTTTGCCACTCAGTGACAGGCCCTCTGTTCGCAGGAGTTACCTGTTAAAAAACAACAATGAGACACTGGTGAAGACTTCAAGAGCAACGTTCTGTTTGTGAACTTGTCTCCTAACAAAATAAAGAGTTCCCTGTCGTTCTTGTAAAGATTTATAAACTAGTCACCTTATTCTCAAGAATACAATTAATACCATTTTAATATAAACCATCTGCTCCCGTTACCAGACATAATCACACAGGACAACTCAGAAACAAAACAAAAACGTAATCAAAGACAAAAGATATCTTCACACGAGTGACCAGAAGAAATAAGCAAGAAATAAGGTTGTTAAAATGTTTTACAAATAAATCGGCATTATAAATATTGTATTACTCACAAGATGGACTAATACAATGGTTGATATTCTTGCCAATTATGTTGTTTGGCATTGAAGCAGCTATTTCAAGAGGTCATGCAGTGTTTGACTCAGCTTCTTCTATTATTTATAAAAATTCATTTTAAGAAAATTGAACATGTGGTCTAGGGTTTGCTATGCATTAGACAAGATTATTGAAATGTTTTCACCCAGTTGGCTATCACCTCGAATTCATTGATGTCAACTGTGGACTAGATGACTCATTCTGCTAAGTGTTTGCTTCTATTTTCTCCCCAGCAGTCCTCGACTAACGTTGTTGTTGTCGGAGGTGCCCCTGCAACCAACACCATCATCGTACACAGGTAAATATAAAGTATCGTTGTTATCTTTATGTTTCGTTGTTATCTTTATGTGTCGTTGTTATCTTTATGTATCGTTGTTATTTTTATGTATCGTTGTTATCTTTATTCAAAAATAATACGCCCATTGTTTGATAGAAATACACAAGATGGACTATCCCTTATACAAGTCACTGTCATGACCAAGGAGATATATTATTTCACTATATTCACGCAAGGGATTATAGATGAGATAAACATTACAATCATAGTTTGTCACATCACATACAATCATAGTTTGTCACATCACATACAATCATAGTTTGTCACATCACATACAATCATAGTTTGTCACATCACATACAATCAGTGCGGGAGCAAGACGATGTTGCACCACAGACCCTTATTCCAAACCGATTCTTGAAACCCTCCAAGTCCCAACAGTCTCTATGAGAACAAGTCTGTCATTGGTGCCAGGTGGTCAGTCAGGTCTCCAAGTCCTAACAGTCTCTGTTAGAACAAGTCTGTCACTGGTGCCAGGTGGTCAGTCAGGTCTTCACTGGTGCCAGGTGGTCAGTCAGGTCTCCAAGTCCCAACAGTTTCTGTTAGAACAAGTCTGTCACTGGTGCCAGGTGGTCAGTCAGGTCTTCACTAATGCCAGGTGGTCAGTCAGGTCTCCAAGTCCCAACAGTTTCTGTTAGAACAAGTCTGTCACTGGTGCCAGGTGGTCAGTCAGGTCTTCACTGGTGCCAGGTGGTCAGTCAGGTCTCCAAGTCCCAACAGTCTCTATGAGAACAAGTCTGTCACAGGTGCCAGGTGGTCAGTCAGGTCTCCAAGTGCCAACAGTTTATGTTAGAACAAGTCTGTCACTGGTGCCAGGTGTTCAGTCAGGTCTCCAAGTGCCAACAGTCTCTGTGAGAACAAGTCTGTCACTGGTGCCAGGTGGTCAGTCAGGTCTCCATTTGCCAACAGTCTCTGTTAGAACAAGTCTGTCACTGGTGCCAGGTGGTCAGTCAGGTCTCGGCGGCTTAACTGGAGACATGTCAACTGAACACTAGTGAGGCTGAAAGTCAAGTGGATAAACTAATCTCAAACCACCAGAACCCAGCGACAGGTACAGCTAAAGGGCCAACAGATGTGCCATGTAAGCAAAGCAGGAAAGACTTCAAGAGGATAACTGGGGAAAAGAACAAAGGAAAATACATGAAAACACGTTAGCAAGAGAAGAAAAATTGAGTTCATTTTGTTTCAGTTTTTGTAACCGCATACACCTATATCTATGGAGTCCTTTATATGTATGCAGTCAACTCTATGTTCAGAGATCTCCCTATATATATATATATATATATATATATATATATATATATATATATATATATGTGTGTGTGTGTGTGTGTGTGTGTGTGTGCGTGTCTGTATGTATATATATATATATATATATATATATATATATATATATATATATACACAGACACGCAATCACACACATATATATATTATATATATATATATATATATATATATATATATATATATATATATATATATATATATATATATATATACACATATATATATATAAAGTCATCTATATGTAGGAAGTCACCTCTAAATATATAGTCACATATAAGTATGCGGTCACTTCCAAGTGTGTAGTCAACTCTAAGTATGTAGTGACCTCTGAGTATGTAGTCAGCGTTAACTATGCAGTCACATATATGTAGGGAGCTACATATAATTAATTAGTCACCTCAAAGTATGTAATCACCTTAAGTATTTATTTACCTCACAGTACGTAGTGTACGTCTAGGTATGTAGTCACTTCTAAGTATGTAGTCACCTCTAAGTATGTAGTCACCTCTAAGTATGTAGTCACCTCTAAGTATGTAATCACCTTAAGTATTTGTTTAACTCATAGTACGTAGTGTACGTCTAAGTATGTAGTCACTTCTAAGTATGTAGTCACCTCTAAGTATGCAGTCACCTCTAAGTATGTAGTCACCTCAAAGTATGTAGTCACCTCTAAGTATGTTGTCACTTCTAAGTATGTAGGCACCTCTAAGTATGTTGTCACTTCTAAGTATGTAGTCACTTCTAAGTATGTAGTCACCTCTAAGTATGTAGTCACCTCTAAGTATGTAGTCACCTCTGAGTATGTAGTCACCTCTAAGTATTTAGTATGTAGTCACCTCTAAGTATGTAGTCCCCTCTAAGTATGTAGTCACCTCTATGTAGTTACCTCTAAGTATGAGGTCACCTCTAAGTATATAGTCACCTCTAAGTATGTAGTCACCTCTAAGCATTTAGTCATCTCTAAGTATGTTGTCACCTCTAAGTATTCAGTCATCTCTAAGTATGTAGTCACCTCTATGTAGTTACCTCTAAGTATGTAGTCACCTCTAAGTATGTAGTCGTCTCTAAGTATGTAGTCACCTCTTTGTAGTTACCTCTAAGTATGTAGTCACCTCTAAGTATGTAGTCACCTCTAAGTTTTTAGTCACCTCTAAGTATGTAGTCACCTCTAAGTATTCAGTCATCTCTAAGTATGTAGTCACCTCTAAGAATTCAGTCATCTCTAAGTATGTAGTCACCTCTAATTATTCAGTCATCTCTAAGTATGTAGTCACCTCTAAGTATTCAGTCATCTCTAAGTATGTAGTCACCTCTAAGTATTCAGTCATCTCTAAGTATGTAGTCACCTCTAAATATTGAGTCATCTCTAAGTATGTAGTCACCTCTAAGTATGCAGTCATCTGTAAGTATGTAGTCACCACTAAGTATTCAGTCATTTCTAAGTATGTAGTCACCTCTAAGTATTAAGTCATCTCTAAGTATGTAGTCACCTTTAAGTATTCAGTCATCTCTAAGTGTGTAGTCACCTCTAAGTATTCAGTCATCTCTAAGTGTGTAGTCACCTCTAAGTATTCAGTCATCTCTAAGTGTGTAGTCACCTCTAAGTATTAAGTCATCTCTAAGTATGTAGTCACCTTTAAGTATTCAGTCATCTCTAAGTGTGTAGTCACCTCTAAGTATTCAGTCATCTCTAAGTATGTAGTCACCTCTAAGCATTCAGTTATCTCGAAGTATGTAGTCACCTCTAAGTATTCAGTCATCTCTAAGTATGTAACCTCCAAGTATTCAGTCATCTCTAAATATGTAGTCACTTCTAATTATGTAGTTACTTCTAAGTATGTAGTCACTTCTAAGTATGTAGTCACCTCCAAATATTCAGTCATCTCTAAGTATGTAGTCACCTCTAAGTATGCAGTCATCTGTAAGTATGTAGTCACCACTAAGTATTCAGTCATTTCTAAGTATGTAGTCACCTCTAAGTATTAAGTCATCTCTAAGTATGTAGTCACCTCTAAGTATTAAGTCATCTCTAAGTATGTAGTCACCTCTAAGTATTAAGTCATCTCTAAGTATGTAGTCACCTTTAAGTATTCAGTCATCTCTAAGTGTGTAGTCACCTCTAAGTATTCAGTCATCTCTAAGTATGTAGTCACCTCTAAGCATTCAGTTATCTCGAAGTATGTAGTCACCTCTAAGTATTCAGTCATCTCTAAGTATGTAACCTCTAAGTATTCAGTCATCTCTAAATATGTAGTCACTTCTAATTATGTAGTTACTTCTAAGTATGTAGTCACTTCTAAGTATGTAGTCACCTCCAAATATTCAGTCATCTCTAAGTATGTAGTCACCTCTAAGTATTTAGTCATCTCTAAGTATGTAGTCACCTCTAAGTATTCAGTCATTTCTAAGTATGTAGTCACCTCTAAGTATTAAGTCATCTCTAAGTATGTAGTCACCTCTAAGTATTTAGTCATCTCTAAGTATGTAGTCACCACTAAGTATTCAGTCATTTCTAAGTATGTAGTCACCTCTAAGTATTAAGTCATCTCTAAGTATGTAGTCACCTTTAAGTATTCAGTCATCTCTAAGTGTGTAGTCACCTCTAAGTATTCAGTCATCTCTAAGTGTGTAGTCACCTCTAAGTATTCAGTCATCTCTAAGTGTGTAGTCACCTCTAAGTATTAAGTCATCTCTAAGTATGTATTCACCTTTAAGTATTCAGTCATCTCTAAGTGTGTAGTCACCTCTAAGTATTCAGTCATCTCTAAGTATGTAGTCACCTCTAAGCATTCAGTTATCTCGAAGTATGTAGTCACCTCTAAGTATTCAGTCATCTCTAAGTATGTAACCTCTAAGTATTCAGTCATCTCTAAATATGTAGTCACTTCTAATTATGTAGTTACTTCTAAGTATGTAGTCACTTCTAAGTATGTAGTCACCTCCAAATATTCAGTCATCTCTAAGTATGTAGTCACCTCTAAGTATGCAGTCATCTGTAAGTATGTAGTCACCACTAAGTATTCAGTCATTTCTAAGTATGTAGTCACCTCTAAGTATTAAGTCATCTCTAAGTATGTAGTCACCTCTAAGTATTAAGTCATCTCTAAGTATGTAGTCACCTCTAAGTATTAAGTCATCTCTAAGTATGTAGTCACCTTTAAGTATTCAGTCATCTCTAAGTGTGTAGTCACCTCTAAGTATTCAGTCATCTCTAAGTATGTAGTCACCTCTAAGCATTCAGTTATCTCGAAGTATGTAGTCACCTCTAAGTATTCAGTCATCTCTAAGTATGTAACCTCTAAGTATTCAGTCATCTCTAAATATGTAGTCACTTCTAATTATGTAGTTACTTCTAAGTATGTAGTCACTTCTAAGTATGTAGTCACCTCCAAATATTCAGTCATCTCTAAGTATGTAGTCACCTCTAAGTATTTAGTCATCTCTAAGTATGTAGTCACCTCTAAGTATTCAGTCATCTCTAAGTGTGTAGTCACCTCTAAGTATTCAGTCATCTCTAAGTATGTAGTCACCTCTAAGTATTCAGTCATCTCTAAGTATGTAGTCACTTCTAAGTATGAAGTCACCTCTAAGTATTCAGTCATCTCTAAGTATGTAGTCACTTCTAAGTATGTAGTCACCTCTAAGTATTCAGTCATCTCTAAGTATGTAGTCATTTCTAAGTATTCAGTCATCTGTAAGTATGTAGTCACCTCTAAGTATTCAGTCATCTCTAAGTATGTAGTCACCTCTAAGTATTCAGTCATCTCTAAGTATGTAGTCACCTCTAAGTATTCAGTCATTTCTAAGTATGTAGTCACCTCTAAGTATTCAGTCATCTCTAAGTATGTAGTCACCTCTAAGTATTCAGTCATCTCTAAGTATGTTGTCACCTCTGAGTATGTAGTTACCTTTAAGTATGCAATCACCTCTAAGTTTATCTCTAAATATGTAGTAATCTTAAAGTATCTTCTTATTCTTCGTGTTCACCAGCTGTAAACTGGTGGACAGTTCTGGTTGTTCATCCACCTTTGGACTGTAGTCCTGCTCTAGAACCTTAGTGTTGCGTGTGCATCCGTTCTACATATATAACTCATTTTTTATGCAGACTGCTGGTTTCTCGCCTCTTATGCAGTTGCACTCCGACTTCGAAGGTAGCTCCCAGTTATTCGACTCTCATTACATGCTATTATATAGACAGTGGGACTATTCTCCCCCCCCCCCCTTTTACACTATAATAGGGCCCTGAAACCCACACGTTGAACCTCAAAGTATGTAGTCACATATATGTATGAAGTTACAAATAAGTATGTAGTAACTTCTAAGTATGTAGTCACTTCTATGTATGTAGTCACTTCTAAGTATGTAGTCACTTCTAAGTATGTAGTCACATATATGTATGAAGTTACAAATAATTATCTCTAAGTATGTAGTCAACTCTAAGTATGTAGTCACTTCTAAGTATGTAGTCACATATATGTATGAAGTTACAAATAATTATCTCTAAGTATGTAGTCACATATATGTATGAAGTTACAAATAATTATCTCTAAGTATGTAGTCAACTCTAAGTATGTAGTCACTTCTAAGTATGTAGTCACATATATGTATGAAGTTACAAATAATTATCTCTAAGTATGTAGTCAACTCTAAGTATGTAGTCACTTCTAAATATGTAGTCACCTGTAAGTATGTAGTCACTTCTCAGTATGTAGTCAGCTCTAAGTATGTAGTCACCTCTAAGTATGTAGTCACCTCTAAGTATGTAGTCACCTCTAAGTATGTAGTCACTTCTAAGTATGTAGTCACCTCTAAGTATGTAGTCACCTCCAAATATGTAGTCACCTCTAAGTATGTAGTCACCTCTAAGTATGTAGTCACCTCTAAGTATGTAGTCACTTCTAAGTATGTAGTCAACTCTAAGTATGTAGTTACCTCCAAATATGTAGTCACTTCTAAATTCACTTCTAAGTATTTAGTCACCTCTAAGTATGTAGTCACCTCTAAGTATGTAGTCAACTCCAAGTATGTAGTCACTTCAAAATACCCAGTCATCTCTAAGTATGTAGTGACATCTAAGTATGTAGTCAGCTCTAAGTATGTAGTCACCTCTAAGTATCTAGTCACCTTTAAGTATCTAGTCATCTCTAAATATCTAGTCACCCCTAAGTATGTAATCACCCCTAGGTATGTAGTCGCAACTAAGTATGTGGTCACCAATAAGTATGTTATTTAGTTTGTTGCGTATCTTTTACAAGACGTTGCAGAACCAATCCAAGTACTCTTTGGCTGTTGTGGTTTTTCTATGCAAATTTACGTCTAGTAGTTTGCCATTGTTCCTGGAGGGTCGGCTTCTCAATACCACTGTCGAAACCAACGCAAGGTGCGGGTCCTACAGCTGGAATCGAACCCGGCACCCCGGTATTACGAAGCTCGTTCGCAACGCCTAAGCCACAGACGCCGACACTGAGTATGAAGTCATCAAAAAGTATAAAGTCATCTATGAGTATGTAGTCACCCTGATGTATGTATTCACCTCTAAGTGGATATTCATCTGTAACTATGTAGTGACCCCTAAGTATCAAGTCACCCCTAAGTATGTAATCATCTCTAAGTATTTAGTCACTTCTAAGTAAGTTGTTACCCCTAAGTATGTAATCATCTCTAAGTATTTAGTCACTTGTAAGTAAGTTGTTACCCCTAAGTATGTAATCATCTCTAAGTATTTAGTCACTTCTAAGTAAGTTGTTACCCCTAAGTATCTAGTCACCCCTAAGTATGTAATCATCTCTAAGTATTTAGTCACTTCTAAGTAAGTTGTTACCCCTAAGTATCTAGTCACCCCTAAGTATGTAATCATCTCTAAGTATTTAGTCACTTCTAAGTAAGTTGTTACCCCTAAGTATCAAGTCACCCCTAAGTATGTAATCATCTCTAAGTATTTAGTCACTTCTAAGTAAGTTGTTACCCCTAAGTATGTAATCATCTCTAAGTATTTAGTCACTTGTAAGTAAGTTGTTACCCCTAAGTATGTAATCATCTCTAAGCATTTAGTCACTTCTAAGTAAGTTGTTACCCCTAAGTATCTAGTCACCCCTAAGTATGTAATCATCTCTAAGTATTTAGTCACTTGTAAGTAAGTTGTTACCCCTAAGTATCTAGTCACCCCTAAGTATGTAATCATCTCTAAGTATTTAGTCACTTGTAAGTAAGTTGTTACCCCTAAGTATCTAGTCACCCCTAAGTATGTAATCATCTCTAAGTATTTAGTCACTTCTAAGTAAGTTGTTACCCCTAAGTATCTAGTCACCCCTAAGTATGTAATCATCTCTAAGTATTTAGTCACTTCTAAGTAAGTTGTTACCCCTAAGTATCAAGTCACCCCTAAGTATGTAATCATCTCTAAGTATTTAGTCACTTCTAAGTAAGTTGTTACCCCTAAGTATGTAATCATCTCTAAGTATTTAGTCACTTGTAAGTAAGTTGTTACCCCTAAGTATGTAATCATCTCTAAGTATTTAGTCACTTCTAAGTAAGTTGTTACCCCTAAGTATCTAGTCACCCCTAAGTATGTAATCATCTCTAAGTATTTAGTCACTTCTAAGTAAGTTGTTACCCCTAAGTATGTAATCATCTCTAAGTATTTAGTCACTTCTAAGTAAGTTGTTACCCCTAAGTATGTAATCATCTCTAAGTATTTAGTCACTTCTAAGTAAGTTGTTACCCCTAAGTATGTAATCATCTCTAAGTATTTAGTCACTTCTAAGTAAGTTGTTACCCCTAAGTATGTAATCATCTCTAAATATTTAGTCACTTGTAAGTAAGTTGTTACCCCTAAGTATGTAATCATCTCTAAGTATTTAGTCACTTCTAAGTAAGTTGTTACCCCTAAGTATCTAGTCACCCCTAAGTATGTAATCATCTCTAAGTATTTAGTCACTTCTAAGTAAGTTGTTTACCCCTAAGTATGTAATCATCTCTAAGTATTTAGTCACTTCTAAGTAAGTTGTTACCCCTAAGTATGTAATCATCTCTAAGTATTTAGTCACTTCTAAGTAAGTTGTTACCCCTAAGTATGTAATCATCTCTAAGTATTTAGTCACTTCTAAGTAAGTTGTTACCCCTAAGTATGTAATCATCTCTAAGTATTTAGTCACTTCTAAGTAAGTTGTTACCCCTAAGTATGTAATCATCTCTAAGTATTTAGTCACTTCTAAGTAAGTTGTTACCCCTAAGTATGTAATCATCTCTAAGTATTTAGTCACTTCTAAGTAAGTTGTTACCCCTAAGTATGTAATCATCTCTAAGTATTTAGTCACTTCTAAGTAAGTTGTTACCCCTAAGTATGTGGTCACAACTAAGTATATAGTCGCCTGTGTGTTCATAGTCACCTATACGTATATAGTCATCTATAAGTATGTAGTCGTTTGTAATCACCTCCAAGTATGTATGCATGTATAAGTAAGTAGTTGCCTCTAAGTATTTTGTCCTCGTAAATAAGTAGTCACCTCTAAGTATGAACTCATACATAAGTAGGTAGTTAACTTTAAGTATGCAGTCACTTTTATGTCAGTAGTCACCTATAAGCATTTAAGCATCTCTAAGTATGTAATCGTTTGTAATCACCTCCAAGTATGTATGCATTTACAAGAAGTCGCCTCTAGGTATGTAGTCACCCCTAAAAAAGTAGTAGAATTTAAGTAAGTATTGATACATAAGTAGGTAGTCACCTTTAAGTATGTAGTCACCCTAAATAAGTAGTCGCCTCTAAGTATGAATTGATACATAAGTAGGTTTTCACCTTTAATTATGTAGTCACCCTAAATAAGTAGTCGCCTCTAAGTATGGATTGATACATAAGTAACTAGTCACCTTTAAGTATGTCGCCACCAGTGTTATGTAGCTAACCAAGACATCTTGTTTTCCAGACATGGAGTCAATCATTGCATGCATTGCCTCATCTCACTGTTCTTCTTTCCCTGGATATTTGTGTGGATTTTCTTGGTAAGTCTTTTCGTAAGAAATCTGTATAACCTCTCACTGATGGCAAACCATCGTCACCATTTAAATAACATGGCATATATACTGTATTGCACTTATGAAGACATTCTTCTGGCATGACTATATATATTGTCAGTATTATTTTATATGTTTATATATAAAGTAAAGGACTCCTTTCCACGCCTTTAAGGCGTCTTGGGTATACAGGTCTAGACCTATATTTTATAGACCAAATGGCACTTGGTGGGTGATGTGGCCAGCATCAAGCCCGCCGTCTTTACTTTCCAGGAGTGTTCCTGGTACCCATTCAAGGCTGGGTCCAAGATCATTTTTAGAAAAAGTCTGGCCCCTGTCAGGAACCGACCCTACGACCTTCCGATCCATAGGATAGCGTCTAGCCGCTTGACCACGGCAACACAAGTGCCTTGCTAAATAATCTAGCTGTTGATTAGTACACTTAAGAGAGCTACTGCACAAATCTGTCAGCTCAAGATATGAACCATAACTCTTTCTTTATCTCGACCATTTACACGAGAGGGATTTATTTCCACTTACATGTGTGTATAAGCACACGATCAGCTGCACGGGTAGCTAATTCATTATGTTCAAATATCATAGAAGCATGATTCACAGACGTTCCAGTGCCTCTGTTTATGTCTTCTAAAATGTTGACAAAGGATGAAATTGACTACGATTGATTACAATATTATAGATTGCCCAGATGCAACAACCACGAAGTTTGCAGCTTGTTACAGTTTATAAAAACTCACAGCATACCACCACCATTTATTATTATTGTACATGTGATAGGAGAGGCTAGTGAGATTAGAGTATAATACACACGTAAGGACGCGTGGACAGGACACACACACACACACACACACACATATATATATATATATATATACACACACATAATGACAGACGATAATCACGCAGATCGATACAGTTAGAAATAAACATGCAAGCAAAAAAAAAAAAAAAATGCAGACAGAAAATGCTTTGTAACATTAGGACAGCGCGCAGAAATTGTTTTTACGTGGTGACTTTTATACTCCAAAACTCAACAAGTTTGATATCGATTTGTCTCTGAAAGTATAATTTTCTGCATAGTTTATTGGTCCTTGTGTGCATCCGCACCGACACAGATGAAACATTGAATTCCAGCCATACATATTGTCAAACCAAAAATGGAGCCTCAAAGAGTATATCCTAGCTTAGAATCATAATAAAAATTATTATTGTCATACAAAAGTCAGAACTCGAGTCCGAAAAAACTTGCCCAATTAAAGACTCGCAACTCGACTTAGGGGTTTTATCCAACGACACGTGACTCGACTTGCGACTTGTAGCTTGGACGACTCGTTCTTTGCGGCGGGCTACAGCCAGGTTTGGTCATCAACGTCACAATTGAAAACGTCTTTAAATATATCAAACAGGACAGAATAAATTCCGTTTCGATTTATCAAGCTTTCGCATTCGACCTCTTCCGCTTTTTAAATAGTTAGTGAGTTAGCGCCACTTCTGATTTGGTATTTTCGCCATTTTTGATTAATCTATAAGCAGTTCCCCATTCAGACTTGAAAATGACTTGGTAAATAAAGTGATTTTTGACTTAGAACTCGACTGGAAGCATTATTGCTGACTTGACACTTGATTTGGATATATGGAGTAATGACTGGTGGCTCCACTTGGACTTGATGGCTGGCGACCTCGTCCAATCTCTATTGTAATAATTTGCTGAATATCATATATCTATATATTTACACACACATACACACACGTACATACATACATACATACATCAAATGAAATGCATACAGGATTTCTATACACGGTTAGAGGGTGCAGTAATGTAGTGTCAGTCATCTCATAGTGGGATGCCATTTTTCGTTATCCCTTGCCAGGGGCCGCAATATAGCCTGGCCATAAATATGGTCTAATAGCTGAACGCGGTTTCCGGGACCTCTCCACGGGTGATCCTCATCCACATCGTGCAACTAGTGTCATCGGGTATTTATTGCTTGTGTGATGTCCTGGTGGGGTAAAAGTATTACTACTACTACTAGTAATGTAGACAGTCAGCCATATTGTTTTATCTGTTTCAGTGTATCACTGAGGACAGCTAGAGACATGCCTACCGACAGTCGCTGTGTCAGCAAGCAGCAGACAGCTGATTCTTGATGAAATATAACCGACAGTGTTATTATTTGTCACGTTATTTGTCACATGTAAGACCGTGATCACAGTTTTCTACACACGTTCACTTGTCATCAACACCTGTCATCTCTTCCGTTATCTTGAAATGTTTTTGTTGTTGGTATGTGCCTGTGTTGGGCACACACACACACACACACACACACACAAAATCGCTTAAAAAATTAGGATCAGAAATTATGATTGAGCCAAACATTATATTTATAAACATTGAATACGTTTATTTATTCTTGAAATTATCTTGCACGCCTTCCAGAACACAGCTGCTTTCCCTACCTCGTCCCTGCTTCTTCTTCTTCGTCCTCTTCTTGGTCTTATTGTTATTTTTCCTCTTCTTCTCTTCCACCATTTACCTAAGCGAGGTGTTGGTGAGTTGGCTTTTTTTTTTAAGTATCCAGAAGCCATGAGTTGTGAACCCTTAGGCTAGGTATTATGGGTATCGCAACCTTTCGGTATTGATTCCATTGTAAATACTGTAAATCTGGGAGAAATGTGGCTTTTCTGCCTACCCCCGGGAGTGAACCCGGACCACAAGGTGTTCGTCACCCGGTCGACGCGCAATCCGGTTTAGCCAACTACGCTAGAGAGCCGGGGTGAGTTGGCTTTAAATATATATATATATAATTTGTATTTCAACAAAATCACGTTTGGTCCGGAGCCTGGACAAGCATTAGTGGCGCAAGACTCTAGATCATTTTGGCATTTAAGATTGCACACAAACCAACAGTCCTCAAATCTAAACTGCCTCTAGTTGGTTAGCTGACATACTTGTTTGTTACTGCAAACCCGGATCACCGACAGACATCGCTTTTATTTTCAGTTTCCCAGAATTCAGACAACTACGTCAGAAGCTAAGATGACTTTTTATGCAAATCAGGTTATAAATATCAAAAGCACGTGACGTATTGTATAGATAAGAGTGAACACTGCACAAGCGAGTCACCACGAGTTGGCTGCCGTAGCACGGGCTGCACACTGTGTCAACACATATCCGGTTTTACAAAGTTGCCTACACTGAACAACAACACACTCCTGGTGTGTGTGCGTGGGTTGTCACACTGAGCTAGTCAGGGTGTCCCAAACAATAATAGCACAAGAGTTTTTTCCCAGTTTGTTTCACTTTCGTTTCAAAGGATTGAGTTTTTCTGCTTGCTTATTTGCCAAGTGAGTTTATTTTCAGTCCTATGTACATAACACATTTTCTTGTGTAATTCTGTTTGTTCTCTCCAGCTGTGTACCTGGTGACATTTGGGGAAACTCCAAGTAGTTGTTTTTATTACACAGTCGTTTATAATAAAAAGAGATCGGTGTCCATTGGACATAGGGAATGACAGTGTACAGCAGCCTTGATTTGATCATGTCATCGAGCTTGGAAGCGACTGGCGACTTCACAGATACTGTCACAGTATAGCAAGCGCGTGACTGGTGACCTGTCTCCCTCGCCGACTGTTTTGCCCAGAGAGCAACACTGAAAGTGTGTCTTCTACACATTTAACAAGGTTGTATTGACTCTTCGCGGGCCAGGGTGGCACACTGGCAAAGATCATGGGTTCCAATCCCCATCGAGACGGATTTTTATATTTGACCTAGGGCTCCCTGATTTACCCATACAAAAATGAGCTCGAGGAAATGCCAGGGAAAGAAAAGGCGACCGGGGTGATGAAGACTAGTTTTTTTTCCCTGGTTGGTCTATAAATAGTTTGAATCAAATATGATGCCCCGTGAGGCGAGAAGGGCGAGGTACAAGGAGAAGGAATGGCTTAGAAAGGGAAAGGAACGAAAAAACTTTCCCGGAGTGCATAACACTTTATTTAAACAATAGTTTACTTACCCCTTCGAATAAAGCATCTTGTTATCATGTCCTGCAGTTTAAGATAGTCTGACATATTTGATCCTTCTGAATTCCTCTCCCCAGTGAAGTACATCACAGTGAAATAATTACATCTCTAAACCCTCTCCACATGGGAGTACATCACATCTAAAATGTTACCTCTCTAATCGTTCTTCCCATCGGAGTGCATCACACTTAAATAGTTACTTATCTAATGCTTCTTCCCATTGGTGTCACACCTAAATAGTAAATTATCCTTCTCCCATCGGAGTGCATGACACCTAAATAGTTACTATCCTTCTTCCTATTGGAGTGCATAACATCTAAATAGTTACTATCCTTCTTCCTATTGGAGTGCATAACACCTAAATAGTTACTTATCTTATCCTTCTTTCCATTGGAGTGCATCACATCTAAAACGTTACCTGTCTGATCCCACTGAATTGCATCACACTGACATAGTTACCTCTCTATAATACCTCTTCCATTGAAGTACAACGCATTGAAATAGTTACTTTTTTAATCCCTCTCTTCATAGAAGTGCATCACACTGAAATAGTTACCTGTCTAATCTCTCTCTTCTTTGGAGTGCATCACACCTAAAAAGTTACCTGTCTAACCTCTCTTCCCACTGAAGTGCATCACACTAAAATAGTTACTGTCTAACCTCTCTTCTTACTGACGTACATAACACTGAAAATATTTACCTCTCTAATCTCTCTGTGTAGGCTCGAAAAATTGTGATTCAGTGATCACCAATTCATTTTCGTCGCAGTGTCTTTAACACTATAATAAAGAGAATGATCATTGAACTATAAAATTAGAATTAGTGTGGTTATTGTATTACAGTACTGGGAAACAATGTAAGTGGTTACGATAGGACATGTAAACTATTCCAGATACATTGTGGTTAACTTGTTACTTGTGCCTGGCTTATGATGTTGTTCATATTGTTGTTGATCATCAACTGTAGGAACCTAATAGTGGTTTTGTCGTCTGAGGAAGCGCTTGTATGTGCGAGTCATACGCCCTGGGCGCTTGGTAGGATGTGTTACCCCTAAGAACGCGTCAACAGTACACTATACATCTTCCCCGTGTGGGTTCCAGGGCCCTATTATAGGAAAAACAAGAATAGACCCACTGGCTACCCAAAAGCATGTCGTAAGAGCCGACTAATTAGGAGCTTATTCAAAGTCGGAATGCATCTGCCTGAGAGGCAAGGAACCAACAGTCTGCATACAAATTAGTCCGATCTGTAAAACGGATGCACACGCAACACTCAGATTCTGGAACAGGATTGCAGTCCAGAAGTGGACGAACAACCAGAACTTTCCACTGGAGTTTACAGCTGGTGAACGCGAAGAAGCAGAAGAAGACTGCACATCTACAATACCTCTTCCAACAGTGCACAGCACCTACAGATTTATCTCTTAAACACCTCTTCTCACTGGAATCCATCATTGTCATCATCATTGTCATCATTACATCAAGTACCTTGCAGACTGGCGTGGGCGATCATGCTTCTCCATATCCTGTGATCTCCAACATGTATGATCGTGCTGAAAGATGGCGGTATCATTAAAAACATTCACCCTACACATACATCTGGCCAAACCTGATACATAACACCATTTTCATAATAGCATGACTAACTGGAGTTATGAAACAAGTCACAGCAATGGTGGTCAGCTGTTGACGTGAATCATGTTGAAGAACACCAGTCCATAACTTTTCACTATCTGTTGGAAGTCGATCTCTTTTAAATGGGGTTTGCTCTTTTCATTCAATACAAATGATTCTTCTGTATTGTTCTTCTATTACACTGATGTCTTCTCCTGCAGTGTGCATAAACGGTAGTTCTGAGAATAAAAGTCTTTACGTCTGGATTACAAGTAACATTGGCTCAGTTTAGACAAGCACAGAAACGCAAACGTGTAATTTGGTGGCGTAAGGAAAAAGCCAAAAAATCGGCTACCAATCTTCCAAAAAGCCACCGGGGGGGGGGGGGGGGGGAGAAAAAAAAAGGGGAGAGGGGGTGGTGGTGAAGGGGGAGGGGGTGCTGGTGAAGGGGCAACTTTCAAAAAGGCCAAATTTAGCTTTAAAAATACCACAACTGGTAAACCTGGTCTGTGTGGCTGTGGCTGTGTCCTGACCTGGATGTCAAGGACACCACAGCGTGAATTCTAGGAATAATTTTCCCGGGAAATGTTGAGCAGGCCAGCGTTCCAGTGACAGCTCGAACCAGTTGTAGGTTGGTGACATCCTGCATTGTCCAGGCGTGTTTTCTAAAAACAAAAAATCGTTTTTATGATCGGCTTTCACAGCTAACTTCATGCTTTCTTTGTTGTCTGTGTGCTAAAAGGGCTTACGAGTTATGTTTTCTCGTTTAGTCAACTTCTAGTAATTACCTACTTTAATATTATCTTTTAGATAAAGGAATAATTTGCTTAACATAAGTTCAATATAAATTTTCCACAACCTATAGAAATGGTGAAACAGCCCTGCCCTTCTTTAAATGTGCACCAATGCAAAAGCTATGTAACATGCACCACTGTAAAAACCGTTTATAGTACGTCCCAGAAGTAATGCCGAGCTTGAGAATTATGTAAACCAGTAACCGTTCGGTGTAAGTTGTTGAAACTGTGCCTGCAGCGTGTTAATAATAACATCCTTCTTGTGAGTAATTTTAAAAAAAAAAAATAAACAAATATTTGCAGGCGTGATGCTGACCACATCAGCCATCTTGTGCCGATTGGTCTATACGAATATAGGTCTAGCCCTATACGCCTTAAGGCGTGGAAAGGGGACTTACTAAACTTACTCTACCTACTAAATAAATATTTAGTATTCATTGTGCATTGTTTGCGGTACATGAAAAAAAAAAAAAAAAAGCAAGACACTGATTGAAAGCAAACAGTCAGCATACTCTAACTTGAGTCAAATGAGCCAGGAAAACGTTTAAAAACATCAGGTTGCCCAGGTTGCACGTGTAGTTTCGCCCCCAGCTGGTTAAAGTGTAACGGCATGAGTTTTGAAACACACTAGAGTGAGCACCCCTGCAGCAGACACGTGTAAAAATGTTCAACTGTTATAGAGCCCTGTAAATGTGCATCACTGCAACACAACCACGAGAATGTGCACTAGTGTAACAGTTAATGTGAAAATACTGTTAGTGTCTATCTATAGGAGACAAATTTACGAGAACGTAAAATTGTATATTTACCTATCTCTTCTGTGTAAAAAACAAAAGTAGTATTTCATGGAGATTGTGCTGACCTCCCACCCCAACCCCCTACATACATACATACATACATACATACATACATACATACATACATACGTACGTACGTACGTACGTACATACATACATACATACATACATACATACACACAGCATACATACGTACGTGCATACATACGTACGTGCATGCATACGTACGTGCATACATACTACACACACACACACACACACGCACGCACGCACGCTCGCACGCACGCACGCACGCACGCACGCACACACACATACATACATACATACACACTTACATACATACACACTTACATACATACACACTTACATACATACACACTTATATACATACACACTTACATACATACACACATACACACGTACGTGCATACACACGTACGTGCATACATACGTACGTGCACACATACGTACGTGCATACATACTACATACATACATACATACATACGTACATACATACACATGTACATGCATACGTACGTGCATACATACGTACGTGCATACATACGTACGTGCATACATACGTACGTGCATACATACGTACATACATACATACATACACACACACACACACATACACACATACACACATACACATACATACATACACATACATACATACATACATACATACATACATACATACATACATACATACATACATACATACATACATACATACATACATACATACATACATACATACATACATACATACATACGCCGCACGCACGCACGCGCACACACACACACACACACACACACACACCACACGTACGTACGTACGTACGTACGTATGGTAATAATGTCTAGAATGTGCTGGGAACTGGCTGAGAAGAAAAGTCGACAGTGCAGAGAAATGACCATTCCACTTCATTTGTCGTAAAGGCCCGACACTCCTCGTTACAACGTTATTAAAAGTACTGGGACTAGTTTTATCTTTTCTTATAGTTTTTTTTTTCTACAAACCAAACCGGATGTAATGGCAGAAGATAGTTAATATTCTAAAGTGGCGACTTCATGCGAGATATAAAAATAACTGTAGGAATAGTTTTTTAGAGTTTACTTGAACTGTTTGTTCTTCAACACATCCGCTTAGAAATGTTTGTAGAGGCTACAGACAATATCCAGTCAGGCAAAGAGTCACGCTGTCAATGCTGTGGAGGCCTTGAGGAAAATTGTAAAGCACCGCTAGGTGCTTTAAGTCGAAGGTTTACTTTCATGTGTGGTAAAGTGTACACTCCAGGCCAGGTCTTCTTGCTTGCAGCAGCCGGACAAAGCTGTGCTGAGAGATTCATAATCCGTGTAATGTGCTCCTTCAGGGACAGCAGGCGCTCTACTGTGAATTCTTTGAGTCCCAGACAACGCATGGTGTGTGATTTACTCCCTAGCCTAATATGTTGTTTCAATTTTTGTATTTAGTCAGAACAGACTCAAGAAATCTAACTTATCCCATTGGTACTACTACTGTTCTATTACTGTTTGAAATAAAAGGCACTGATACATTTTAGGCGGATATATTTCTTCATCGACATCTTATAGAAAAGAAGAAGAAGAAGAACCATCGGGTAGGTGGTGCATGCAATATCTCTTCAGCCGTTGTAAACCTCTCCGCTTGTTGGTGAAGTGCAGTTGACACCATTCTGAAACCAACACCGTTTCCCAAGCTGAAAAAGCTTCCTGGTCCATGCCCTACACACTACTGCCGGCACAAGGCGGCTGTGTACTGAAAGCATTTGGCTGCTGTGTTGTTTGTGGGCGCCTGCATGCCATAGCTAATACAATCAAAGGTTCGTTATGTATATGAAACGTGTCATACATTGCCGACTGATTTCATCAAGTTGAAATCTCAATCTAATAACCACAGTTTGGATTTTCTTTCATTGCCCACACCTGACGGTGAAAACTTTAGTTTCTAGCACAACCGTGTTTCCTTTATGTTAATTGTTTATTTAGCTAATGTTCTATGATCGCTGGTATCACCGTTGTTGAACTATTCAGTCAGCACAGTACCGCTGACATTAAGTGATTTCATCTGTAACGGAGACCGGAATGGCCCTAAGGTTTCCGCCGACATCACTAGTTGGTTGTTTCTCTGGCCAGACGCAACATGTTTATTGTCTCCGCCCAGATACTTATTCGTATTGTCTCTACCATGACACATATACATATAATCTCGTTTCAGAAATATTTACATATAGTCTCTACCACCTAGACACATATACCTACTGTCTATACCCACATAGATATACCTATCGTCTCCTTCTAGATACATATACATATAACAGTTGTAACCTCTGCGTACATTAAAATTACACCGCGCAAGATTGCAGGTTAATTGATTAATCAACAGTTCATTTGTCAAACAACGTTATCTTTTTGGAAAACAAAACTTTTCGATTGTACTCGATGAACTGGCTTAGAAAGAACTGTAAAAGAAATAAGGCGTTGTTTCTGGAAGGCATGGCGCTTCTGTCCGACGGTGAACACATGATAGTGAAGGCGTTATGTATGAAAATACAATTTTTGATAGTGAAGGCTTTATGTATGAAAATACAGTATTTGATAGTGAAGGCTTTATGTTTGAACATACAAGATTTGATAGTGAAGGCTTTATGTATGAAAATACAGTATTTGATAGTGAAGGCTTTATGTTTGAACATACAGTATTTGATAGTGAAGGCTTTAGGTTTGAACATACAGTATTTGATAGTGAAGGCTTTATGTATGAAAATACAGTATTTGATAGTGAAGGCTTTATGTATGAAAATACAGTATTTGATAGTGAAGGCTTTATGTTTGAACATACAGTA